GGCCTCACTACCCCTAAACTGGCACATACAAAGTTCTTCCACAATTGACCACTACAAGCCCCTGGATGGGGACTGCTGATGGCAGATCCTGCTCAGGCTATTAGATGCGGTGGGAGGTAGGGAACTCACCCAGCTGTGAAGAAAAGTGACAAGGGCCGTCACCCCTGGAGACACTGCGCATGAAGTCGGGTCCTGATCTCCGAGCTGACTCCGAAGGTCTTGGTTCAGACGATGGTGACATGTTTCTAGGAAGGCCTTACGTTGCCTAGATAGAGCAGAAACAGACCAGGGGATCATCACAACACCTTTGGTCCCCAGGTATGGGAAGGTGATGGCCAGGCCAGGAGCTCACAAGCAGGAGTAGGGGACGGGGAAGCTCAGCTCCCTAATGTGTTTTGCATATGCCGGGTCTGACAGTAGAGGGGTCCCAATAGAGAGAAGAGGAGGAGGAGGTGTTTGTGAGCAGCAAAGACTGCTAGCTGGGGTGAGTGGTCGTGGGTTTTCCTCCTCTCAGCAGGTTCCCAGGCACAATATCAGTCTTCTCCACATCGCCACGCCTAATGGGGAGCGAATGCTGACCAAATGCAATGCTGCTTGTGTGTGCCTCATGATCCCAGCCGCCTTCCTGGTGGCTTCTGGTGGAGGGTGTCCTCCCACAGAGGCTGGAGTCAGGCAGGTCTCTCCAGGGACCTTGGGAGGAGGAGTGAGGGGTTCCTATGTGAGAGCATCATGGAGTGGGGTGGTCAGAAGCCTGGGAGACGTCATGGATGGAGGGCCCCAGCTCCAAAGTGAAGACCAGCTCATTTGCCCACTGACCTCTTCCTCCTCCTCGACATCACTCTCCTGTAGACTGACGCCAGGCATGTCTTGACCACACTGGATGACCATGACGGGGGGAGGTGACCGGCCCCCCTCCCATGATTGTTGTAATAGAGGCAGGTGTGAGGTGGCACCCCAGAGCATCTGCTCTGCTCCCTGGCCTTCTGATAAGCCTGGCTCAGCTCTTTGATTTTGAGCCTGCACTGCTCCAGGTTCCTGCTGTGGCCTTTCTCTGCCAGGCCTGGGGACGATCCTCTCATAGCTGTCGGTGTTCTTGGTGTGGACATCCTGGAGGCTGACGAAGTCCAGGATCCTTGTAGCAGTCCAGCCTGGAGCTCCTGTCGAAGCAGAAGGGCTGGAAGCCATCGAAGTCTCTCAGGTGCTCACGTCACAGTGTGCTGATCACTCGCAGAGGGCTTGCAAAGCTGACCATGTGGGACAGCCCGTCTCCTGTTCCTGAGAGTTTGAGGGCACAATCCTCCAACTGAGGCCTATTCACTGCAGAGTAGAGCGGAAGGAGGTCTTCTCGTGTCTTGCTCACAACACACCTGTGAATGCCTCCCAGAATCATGTTGGCTTTCTTTGCAACAGCATCACACTGCTGACTCCTATTTAGCTCTGACCCCCGGATCCCTCTCTGCAGGACTCCTTCCTAGCCGGTCGCTTCCCGTTCTGTGTGTGTGACATGGATTCTTCCTTTCTAAGTGGAGCACTTTGCATTTGTCCTTATTCAGCTTCATCCTATTTACCTCTGGCCATTTCTTCACTTTGTCCAGATCATTTTGAATAATGAATCATCCTCCAAAGCACTTGCAACCCCTCCCAGCTTGGGATCATCTGCAAACTTAAAAAGCATCCTCTCTAGGCCAATATCTAAACCGTTGACGAAGATATTGAACAGAACCAATCCCGAAACAGACCCCTGCGGAACCACACAATGGCTGTGTCTAGACTGCAGGCTTCTTTCGAAAGAGGCTCTTTCGAAAGCATCTTTCGAAAGAGCCTCTTTCGAAAGATCGCGTCTAGACTGCAGGCGGATCTTTCGATAGAGGAAATCCGCTTTTTCGAAAGAGAGCACCCAGCGAGTCTGGATGCTCTCTTTCGAAGACGGTCTCTTTACATTGAAGAACGCCTTCCTTCGAAAGAGGAACTTTCGAAGGAAGGCGTTCTTCCTCGTGAAACGAGGTTTACCGCCATCGAAAGAAAAGCCGCGTTCTTTCGAAATTATTTCGAAAGAACGCGGCTTGAGTCTGGATGCAGGGGAAGTTCTTTCGAAAAAAGGGTACTTTTTTCGAAAGAACCCCTGAGTGTGGACACGGCCACGAGGAAGAACGCCTTCCTTCGAAAGTTCCTCTTTCGAAGGAAGGCGTTCTTCAATGTAAAGAGACCGTCTTCGAAAGAGAGCATCCAGACTCGCTGGGTGCTCTCTTTCGAAAAAGCGGATTTCCTCTATCGAAAGATCCGCCTGCAGTCTAGACGCGATCTTTCGAACAGACTCGCTGGGTGCTCTCTTTCGAAAAAGCGGATTTCCTCTATCGAAAGATCCGCCTGCAGTCTAGACGCAATCTTTCGAAAGAGGCTCTTTCGAAAGATGCTTTCGAAAGAGCCTCTTTCGAAAGAAGCCTGCAGTCTAGACACAGCCCGTGAAACGAGGTTTACCGCCATCGAAAGAAAAGCCACGTTCTTTCGAAATTATTTCGAAAGAACGCGGCTTGAGTCTGGATGCAGGGGAAGTTCTTTCGAAAAAAGGGTACTTTTTTCGAAAGAATCCCTGAGTGTGGACACGGCCAATGTGTGTATCTCCTGTCTTTGCAGGCTTTGAAATCCAGAGCCTAGATACCTGCAGTTTTCTATTGATGGTCCCTAAGATTGGTGCCCAAATCCTTTGGGCTTGGATGGTGTTCCATGTCTTCATGCTCACTCTCGAACCCTGCAGAGCATCGCTTAAGAGTCGGGGCAGCCTCAGGTGCCTGATCATTTTGAACAGAGGAGGAACGTCCGGGATGGTGGCCCAGGGGAAAAAAGCGGCATTTACACTGCTCTCAAAAGCAGCTCTGAAGCGAGGTCGTTGCCCTGCTGATAGCCCTGCCCACCCTGCGGAGCTTCCTAGCTCTGGGAGCAGCAAGTCGGATTCCCTGGGGTAGATCAGACAGGAAGCAGAAAGAGGAAACCACAGGCCGGAGTGAGCTCTCCACAGCGGAGCGTAAAAGGCAAGTGAGTTGATTCATAGTTAATCTCCCCTTTCACCCACTTCGTCCTTCCTGTTTCAAGGGGCCAGAATTAGCTCTCCATGCCCGGGACAGGGGTGGGGACGTGGGGGAGGCTTTCTCCAGCATCCCATGGACTTCTGCCAGGAAGCTGTGGTCTGTGGAGACAGGCTCAGTAGCAGCATGAGGGACCCTTTCCCTTCCCCCGCCCCATTTCTCAAGCCGGCACTGAGACAACTGAGATCAGCGGGTGCATGTCTGCAAAGTTTCTGTTTGTGTGTGTGTCTGTGTCTGTGGTGTATGGTTGCAATAGTTTCTATTTTGGCTGTGTGTGTGTGGGAGGGGTGCACGTTTGCAGTAGTTTCTATTTTGGCTGTGTTTCTGCGTGTGTGTGTGTCTGTGTCTATGGTGCATGTTTGCAATCGTTTCTATTTTGGCTGTGTGTGTGTGGGAGGGGTGCACGTTTGCAGTAGTTTCTATTTTGGCTGTGTGTGGTGCATGTTTGCAGTAATTTCTATTTTGGCTGTGTTTCTGTGTGTTTGTGTGTGTGGTGCATGTTTGCAAAAGTTTCTATTTTGGCTGTGTGTGTGTGTGTGTGTGTGTGTGTGTGTGTGTGTGGTGCACGTTTGCAGTTGGTTCTATTTTGGCTGTGTTTCTGTGTGTTTGTGCGTGTGTGTGTGTATGTGGTACATGTTAGCAGTAGTTTCTATTTTGACTGTTTATATGTGTAGTGCACGTTTGCAGTAGGCTCTCTTTTGTCTCTGCGTGCGTCTGATGTTTACAGTAGTTTCTGTTTTTGCTGTGTTTCTGTGTTTTTTTGTGTCTGTGTGTGTGCTGCCTGTTAGCAATAGTTTCTTTTTTTACTGTGTGTGTGTGTGTGGTGCTTGTTTGCACTAGGTTCTATTTTGTCTCTGCATGTGTGTGATGTTTGCAGAACTTTCTGTTTTGGCTGTGTTTGTATGTTTTTGTGTCTGTGTGTGTAGTGCATGTTAGCAATAATTTCTATATTGGCTGTGTGTGTGTGGTGCAGTTTGCAGTAGGTTCTATTTTGTCTCTGCATGTGTGTGATGTTTGCAGTACTTTCTGTTTTGGCTGTGTTTGTGTGTGTTTGTGTCCATGTGTGTAGTGCACAAAGCCAAAACTATTTTGAATTCTCGTTTTAAAACAACAGTAACTGCAGAACTATTTTTACAGATTTCTGAGCACACTTCTCCTTTATCGGAGTATTTAGTCGAATAACGTGCATAATATAAAAGGGTACATCTAGACTACATGGCTCCGTTGACGGAGCCATGTAAAGTAGTTTACTCGGCGTAGTCAAAGAAGCGGGGATTTAAATAATCCCCACTTCATTAAAATAAACATGGCTGCTGCGCTGTAACAATGATCAGCTGATCTGACATAGCACGACAGTCTAGACGCAGATCTGTTGGCTGGGGAAGCTTTTGCCGACTGATCCCTTATGCCTCGTGAAGCCGGGTTTACAGGATCGGTCGGCAAAGGCTTCCCCGGCCGACAACAGCTGATCATAGTTACAGCGCGGCTGTCATGTTTATTTTAATGAAGTGGGGATTATTTAAATCCCCGCTTCTTTGATTATGCTGAGTAAACTACTTTACATGGCTCTGTCAACGGAGCCCTGTAGTCCAGACGTACCCATAGTGTATCAGATGATTGAAAGTACATCTGAAGAATTGTATAAAATATCGAGAGATTTTGAACAAGTCCTTATTGCAGCTACCACATTTGTAACATCGGCAAATGAATGGGGATTATTTAAATCCCCGCTTCTTTGATTATGCTGAGTAAACTACTTTACATGGCTCTGTCAACGGAGCCCTGTAGTCCAGACGTACCCATAGTGTATCAGATGATTGAAAGTACATCTGAAGAATTGTATAAAATATCGAGAGATTTTGAACAAGTCCTTATTGCAGCTACCACATTTGTAACATCGGCAAATGAAGAATTAGAAATCAAAAGTGTAGATATGTTTATTGAAACAGATTGTAAAGAAAAATAGACTAGAATACAGAAAAAGTTACCTGGGGAATTTCGTTCGAATGAAACACTAAGAAATGCCAAAGAACCTTATCGCATAAATGTGTATAAGGTTACAATGGATAGCGTAGTCAGCAGTTTCAATACGAGGTATCTAAAACACCAAAATCTTTACACAGAATTTTCTTATTTGGATTTGAAGAATTTAAAAAATATTCTAAACAATCTCCCCGAAAATGCATTTGAAAAATGAAGTGAGTTGTTAAAAAAATTAGCAACTCTATCTCAAAAGAAATATTGCATATAGAAATGATGGATTTCACAAGGAAATGGAGCAAATTCAGGTCAACGCTTATCAAAGATGTCTTAAATGACACTATTGAGAATAGCGACGATTGCAACGAAACTGCTCTCCAAAAATGTAAATCCTGCAAAAGCTGCATGGCATGTTGTTACCATGTTTGGGACAAGTTTGATTTGCACACGCTGGCCTATAGGCATGTCTTTCTAGTGTACAAATATGTACTAACCTTGTCTGCAACGCAGGTATCCTGGGAGAGGTCTTTTTCAAAGCTGAAGTATATTCTGAACAAATTGGGAAATTGTCTTACACAGTCACATCGTGAATCCTTCATGTTAACGTCATGTGAGAAGGACCTACTCTCCGAAATAAATAAGGAGGATGTTATGAACGACTTAGTGCTGAAGAGTAAATTTTAAAAAAATTCTTTGATGTGAAAAAGTGGGCTATTCTCAACCCATTTCCCAAGCCTATTTTGATTGCCAGTCCGCAGGCTAAAAAATAATGGGCATTCGCGTTTATTTCTGTAATATTCATCACACAGAAGTAAAGAGGGTAGGAAAGTCGTATTGTCACACCCAGCACAAACACCCCACCCACGACTTGGGCAGAACAGGCAATAAAAAGCTCCCGATTGTAAAGAACCATGCGGATTCCAACCTCTGGGAACATGGAGTAACAACATCAGCGGCAGTGCGGTTACCCCACATCTCCCCAGGGTGGGAACGAGACTGAGGCCTCGCCACTCGCCAGGAGTCTCTTTTCTCATCTCCTTTCCTTCCGAAAACCAGGAGACACCCCGGTGAGATCCCGCAGAGACGGGTACTCATCAGGCAGCGGCCAGGCCCGGAATCCGTGCAGCGCCCCTGTCGGCCTGATGGCAAGTGCTTTGAGTTGTGGGGACATTGGTGTGCACAAGACAAAACCACTCCTAGCACAATGGGCCCCATGATATCACATGATGGAGTCAACCTAGAGTGATGCCGTGTGAACACCGACGAACCAATGTGTCTGTATGAGAGTCTTAGCAACTCTCTCTGGATATGAATGTATCTCGCTATTTCACGAGGAACTACCCTATATCTAGTTATCCATCTAGGGAGAATCACATACTAGCCACCCCCACACCTCCTTCCAGGCGTCTATCTGTTCATCTGTCCTAACCTATTACATATGAATCTAGCATAAGATATTGTATATGAATATTATCTTTTATATATGACTTTATCTATGTAGCCTTATCACTGTTAACTATTGTATATGCCCATCTAATAATCATCAAGTACTATCTACCTCCTTACATTCCCTCCCTCCTATCTATCTACCTATCTCCACACCCCCATCTATCTATCTATCTATCTATCTATCTATCTATCTATCTATCTATCTATCTATCTATCTACACACTCCCATCTCTCCCCCTCGGGACATGTTACTAATTGGAGGGCGACATTCACAAAAGGCCTTGGCTCCCAGCTGCCCTATTCCGCAGGGGAAGCCCAGCCGCCGGGCCCCACTGGGATTCACCTGCCCCACACTCAGCTGTGGCTGAAACCTGCCTTGTGTCAGGTGACACCTCTGTTCTGGTTTTAAGAGTCCCTGGGCCTTGGGCACTGGGCCGGGGGGATGGGGCTGCGGGACACAGGCCCTGAGGCAGAAATCTAGGTACCTAGGAGATGCCCCGGCAACATCTTAGGTGCTGAGGGAGTTCTGTGTTTTGTGACAGCTGATCAAGAGTCTTGAGGTGCCTAAATCTGGGGCTACCTACAGGGCAGTTCGGTGCCTAAATCCCTTTGTGAATCTAACCCACTTTTCCCTACTACAGTTTGGTTCTGAATGCGCACAGTGTACAGCAGGGGTGGGCAAACACCAGCCTATGGCCGGATCGGATCTGGCAGGCCCCTCACCGGCGTATTTACTGGCGCCTCTGCAGGTACGGGGCTCACAGCTCCCATTGGTGGCAGATCACTGCCCCCGGCCAATGGGAGCTGCGGCCGCCCGTACCTGTGGAGGTGCAGTTAAATATAGTGACCGCGGCCCACCAGGGGCTAACCCCGGTGAACCGCCGCCAATGTATTGCCCAACCCTGATGTATAGTGTCGTGTGTAAGTCAGGCAAAGATTTTTCTGTGTTTCGTGAACCAAAAAGAGAGGTGGTTTTAAAATCCCCTGGTGGGAGAAGACACAATCCTCCGGATCTGCTCCAGAATCTTCTCCTTGTTTTCGGTCACGTTCCTCTTCGCCTTGTTGAGGAGTTCTTCCATCTCTTGCCTTGTGTAGGACATACGAAGGGTGGGAAACGTGATTCTGGTCTTTGTAATTTCTTGTGGTCCTAGAAGAGGTGGGGAAGGGCAGAAGGGAGGAAAACAATGGTTTTTCTCACACACTTTTTCGGCACCCTAAAGCAAAGAATCAGTCGCCTAAAGAGGAGGGGGAACAACATGGCCAATGCCACCTGTTCCCATAGAATCACAGAAAAGTTGGGCTGAAAAGGAGATTGGGGGGGACATCTCCTCCAGCACCCTTCGCTGAGGCAGGACCACATGAACATAGACCAACCCTGATAGGGGCTTCGGGATTCCTTGGCATCCCTTGGAAAACATGTCAAAACAAAACTAACCATAGAGTTAAAGACATTTGTCTTAGTCCTCCCACCCACCCACAAACACACACAGATAACAAATCATTTTTCTCCATACATTTTAAAAAAGAACCACAAATGGCCTGGTAGCACTTTATAGATTAACAAAACATGTCGATGGGATCGTGAGCTTTCGTGGGCAGAGCCCACTTCTTCAGACGACTGGAATTGGAGAACATTTCTGCTTGCCTAACCATGATCTGACAGATCTGCCGGTGGCGGTCTTGTCAAAGGCCAGCTCCTCAAGCCAAATTCACAGAGAAAGCTTGGAATTACATAACATACACAAATTCAATTCACAGGCTAATGGACTTTATCGTGATTTAAATGGGAGGAAACCACAGAAGGTGCTAACAGCTCTCTGAGTGGTATCCTTCCTGTCTTAACAATCTATCTATTGACTTTGATCTTTATCTGCTTAGGTATGGCACCCATTCTCCAGATACTTAAAGACAAAACAGGAAGGGGGTAGGAGACAGAGTGTCATCCTCTTCCTCCCCCCCACTTCCCTTCTATTTATTTCGAGTTTTCACATCTGCTACTTATAACTCCGGTCATCTGCAGAAGTGGGCTGTGCCCACGAGAGCTCATGATCCCATCGACGTGTTTTGTTAGTCTAGAAAGTGCTACCAGACCAGTTGTTGTTTTTTTTCTGTAACACACAATCTCTCTAAAATGTGTAGGAGCTTCGGGGGCTAGCCGAGTTAGTCTGTCTGTCTGCGAGTCTGTCCAGCTGTCTCTGAGTCTGTATGTTCAAGAGCTCTTCCTAAACGGTAAAAGCAAGGACCACCGCTTTGGGGATTCAGCTTCCTCTCATCCTAACTTAACGTAAGGTCAGGGTTGGGCTGAGCCAGGAAAATGGAAGTGCCTAGAATGGGAGTGTTTTCCCGAGCACAGAAAGGGAGGGCTCCGGGAGGAGGGACATTTTGCTCTGCAGTGACCCCTGGGGGCAGCAATTACAGGGGAGAGCCCCACCCCCTGCCCTCAGCCTCTCCTCGCCTCCCAGCCCCCCGCCCTGACTCCTGAACCCCCCCTGCCGCTTAGCCTGCTACACCTCCCAGCCCCCCACCC